TCGAAGATAGGGGAAGAGTTGTCATTAATGTCTAATTGGAATCATGCTGCTACCTCGTGCACATCACAGGCATTCGGGGCATGGTGGCTTGGGGGATTGACATAGGATAATTGACACCTTCGCTGTTGTCTTGCCGGCATCGAACGCTCTTACAGGGTGGGTTTTCCACGGCAAGGATGATGTTACTTTTCAACCAACCATCTTAAGTTAACTGCTAGCTCAGGATCTTGCCGTGTCCGGGAACCCTTCGTACCCTAGGCTCCAGCTGATGAGGCATTGTGCATCTTGCTGGTCATCCAAAATTGAAGGGGTGTGATTCGCTAGCAGGGCAGCACTCACGCGGGAGACTCGTGCTTGCTGATCCTCTGCCTCTTGCTTCTCCTGGAAAGCAGGACTCACCCCGGAGACTTTTGCCTGCTGATCCTCTGCCTCTTGCTTGTCCTGCACAAGAGCACTGAGGCTGGAGACTCTTGCTCCCTGATCTCTCTGATCCTGTGCATCTTGCTTGTCCTGGAAAGCTGGCATCCCTGCAAGCACATCTTGCACCTCTTGCAAGTCTTGCTTCAGGTTGTGTACGAGATCAGCATAAGCCGCAGTCTTGCGCAAGAGGTCCTGAACCACAGCTTGGGATTCGGCGAGCATGTCCAGGAGTTCCCTTTTCTCAGCCATCAAATCGGCTGCTAAGACTCGCCACTCTAGCAGCTCTTGCTCCTGATCTTCGACGTCTTGCTCTTGCATCTCTTGCCAAGTCTCTGGGTCAATGTGCGCTTTCCGCTTCATACCGACGGACGAATGCGCCATTGCAGTCTGAGCAGCAAGGCAGGAGCGACAGCAACTTTAAGAGCGCGAGGACAGCACATGGGCTAGTTTCCCTCAGTACTTTGACAAGGTTTATCCATCAATACTGAATCAATGATCGTGGCTGTGCGCGGACCCCAAACTAGCTAGACTGAACAAAAGAACACGATCAAGCTCATTCGGGCTGCGTGAGTCTGACTCCGTGACTGACTCGGCTTGAGTAGAGGGCATGACCGGCGGCAAGAGTCAAACCTCACTCAAGTTGTCACTCTGTCGTGTTACTTACTTACTTTATTTCATCGAAAGCCGAAGAAATCATGCACCAGCACGGCCGCCTTCGCGTGCTGGAAGCACAACCTGCCCGATTCAATTCGTCCAACGACTTTAAACGAGAGCTGCTGTCCTAGACGAATTCGATGACTAACATCATTTAAGCAATGAAAGCAGGAAAGACGGAATCGGACTGCTCAGGCTGGTTCTTGCGGGACTAGCAGCAGTGATGGCAATCGGTTGCGAGAAAAAGCATCGGGAGCAGGAATTGAAGCGGAAGTGGGAGTAGGACTTAACGAAGTCTTGCTTGGAAATCGTGGTCGTGCAGTCCCCTGACACGTAACTTAACATCATCGACAGGCACGGAGCCTGCGGCAAGCGGGTTTGCGCCAAGGCGGAAAGTGAAGGTCTTGGCCTCGAGTCAGGCATGCAAGTCTGACATCAGAAGTCAAGATATGTTACACCACAAAATTTACGAGCACAGAATGCGACCGCGTAAGCAAGGCAAACTGGTGATTGATAATTGTAGTCACTGACCGTGGAACACCACTGAAATTCGACAGATTGTCTTATTGCTTCTGAGCGCCATGCTTTTGCCGCCTCTGGCCTTGGCCTGCGATAGGATGCGTTGCCACACACTGGGAATTCTCTGGCCAACTGCGGCTGTTCTTTGCTTGGGTCTTCTAGCTGCCCGTCAAACGGTATCTTGCTCAGGGCAACCCCAAACCGAAACGGCAAGCCTTTCAAGTCCATCCCGAGCGAGCATTGTTGCCGATTCAGTCACTCACAATCTAGCAGCATGTACTAGGCGGGGTGCATGCCCTCTTACTTCGGTGTGAGTCGAAGCCTCTTGCAGCATCAAGTTACGAAGCAAGCATTGCATGCGCCATCCGAGATGCCAAACGCTAAATACCCAGTAGTAGAAGTTAATGGAGCTTCTTGCGCCCGGTGGAAGATACTCATGCATGGCAAGTTTTCATTACCGCTGCATGCGTTGATTTTATCTCTTGCTGATTGAGGCGACGCGTCATGTTGGCAGTTGTTTGTCAAGTTTTCGTCTCTCTGCATCAGTAACAGACTAATAACGCTTGGTCTTGCGTCTTCAAATCGTCGGTGTCTCGTCTCAGATCGTGGTTTTCCATGTCATGTGGTTGGTGCTGCTGTCTTGGTGATGGCTAAAGCGCAGGCAGCAGCTGCATTGTTGAAGATCGGCACTGCATGCAATAGTAGTTGTTGTGCTATTAGTCGTAGTAGTAGTAGTAGTAGTAGTAGTAGTAGTAGTAGTAGTAGTAGTAGTAGTAGTAGTAGTAGTAGTAGTAGTAGTAGTAGTAGTAGTACCAGTAGCAGTAGCAGGAGTTGTAGTAGTAGTAGTAGTAGTAGTAGTAGTAGTAGTAGTAGTAGTAGTAGTAGTAGTAGTAGTAGTAGTAGTAGTAGTAGTAGTAGTAGTAAAAAGAATTTAAAAAGTAGTAGTAGTAGTAGTAGTAGTAATGGCAGCAGCATCAGCAAGCAGCAGCTGCATGGAGGAGTAATTGAGTAATAATGATAATATTACAGTAGCAGTCAGTCGTCCTATTGGGAACTGTACTGCTAGCAGCTCTCCTCAGAACAGTCCTGCAGCAGTAGAAGAAACAATGGTCGTACTGGTAGCAGTAGTAGTAGGAGTTGTAGTTGTAGTTGTAGTAGTAGTACTAGTAGTAGTAGTAGTCGTAGTCGTAGTAGTACAAGCAGCAAGCAGCCGCGGCAGTAGTATAGTGGTTGTAGTGGTCGTGGTAGCAGTAGTGTAGTAGTAGTAGTAGTAGTAGTAGTAGTAGTAGCACTAGTACTGACAGTACTCCTATTCTTCGTTGTTTTACTAGTAGTACGTGCTAGCATTCCAGCTTGTGGCTACTGGCTGTAGGAGTAGTAGTCGTTGTCGTAGAAGCAGTAGTAGTAGTAGTGGTGGTAGTAGTAGTGGTAGTAACAGGACTAGTACTACTACTAGTAGTATTTGTAGTAGCAGCAGTAGTAGCGAATAATACCAAAAGTAGTTGTGCAAGAAGCAATAGTAGTTTAGTCGTGTAGTAGTAGTAGTAGTAGTAGTAGTAGTAGTAGTACTAGTAGTAGTAGTAGCAGTAGTAGTAGCAGCACTAGTAGTAGTAGTAGTAGCAGTAGTAGCAGTAGCAGTACTAGCAGTAGTAGTAGTCGTAATAGAAGTAGTAGGAATAGTAGTAGTAGTAGTAGTAGTAGTAGTAGTAGTAGTAGTAGTAGTAGTAGTACTGATACTACTATTACTACTACTACTACTACTACTACTACTACTACTACTACTACTACTACTACTAGTCCTAGTACTACTACCACTAGTCCTACGACGAGGACTACTACTACTTCTTCTACTACTAGTACTACGACTACTTTCTAGTGCTACGGCTACTGCTAGTTAGTGATAGTGCCGCTGCTACTACTAGGACTTGTAATGCTGTAGTACTAGTAATACTACTACTATTGCTGGCACTTCTCCTCCTCCATTTAGAACTGACTGACCTCACCGCAGTTACTACCACTTGCTCCTATTGCGAAGAGTGGTACTTTGCCACTAGGCGATGATGAATGAATAATAGTACTGCTCCTGTAGTCCCACTATTTCTAGCGGTACTACTACTACTACTACTACTACTACTACTACTACTACTACTACTACTACTACTGCTACTCCTACTGGTACTTAGTGACAGTGCCACTTCTACTTACTCTTGCCACGAGTCCTAACTGTACTTGTGCTGCTACGACGACGACGACGACGAGTACAACTACAAGTACTAGAACTACTATGCTGCTACTCCGACTTACTTCCTTCTAGCACTGCTGCTACTAGAAGGAGGGCTACTACTAACTACTACTACTACTACTACTGCTACTACTACTACTAGTACTACTAGTAGTACTACTACTACTACTACTACTACTACTACTACCATTACTACTAGTACTGCTGCTGCCGATGCTGCCAGTGCTGCTGCTGCTGCTGCTGCTGCTGCCTAGCAGCACTAATAATGATACACATTAATGTACTGTCATAACGGAATGTAGCATGTCCAGCTTAAACCCCTAAACCCTAGACCCTCTCTCATTGATTGTTCTACCAGCATCTACTGTAGGGTTTAGGGCTTATGTTGTTTTCCAGGGTTTAAGGTTTAGGGACATCGCTGCATACTTGAGTAAATTGTTGCGCTTATTGTATGTAGTAGCAGTATCAGTATGTTTTTAGCAGCAGTGAATGGCTGCACTCCACGAGTTGCATACCTATCTATCTATTGTTTTCCATTAGTTGGAGAATGTAATTGTAGGAACAATACATGGACGGCAGCAATAATAATAATAGTAAAGAACAAGTGCACACTCCACCACCCACCTACAGGTCTGGCAGCTGAAGTAAGTCACTATGAACTACTACTCCTCGGTGTTTAACCCACTAAAACTACGTAACTAACTAACTGACTAAGATAGAAGCGAGCAACTTCTGTTAAACAGATGAGAAGAAATTGAAATATTAGTATTTTCTCATCAACCACTGACTGCAGCTAGGCAGCTAATTATGCAAAGGTGCACGGAGGCAAAGATTAGTGAACCAATGGACTAGGCTAGGAACTGCGCATGTGTGACTTACTGACTGAAGGCGGTGTGCCTTCTTGCACTGCAGTCGAGTGGTGGTCGAATTCCGCCTGCGACCAGCACCTGGTCAGGCAGTGAACGAAGCAGGTAGGTAGGTGTAGGGAGGCGAGCAGTGCGGCTGCAGGGCAGGCGGACAGCAGCGTCTGTTTTTGTTGCTGCCGAAGTTCTTGCGGCTCACGGCCTCGCAGCGGCGCCCAGCCCTGCAATTCCTTCTGCATTGCCATAAGCAAAACTGACGACGGCGGCGCAGCCTTTGCATCACGAACCGTTCCCTCTTGCGGCTAGTCCGTGTCGGTGAAACCGACTTCTTGCCGGAGTCTTTTCTGCACCCATGTGTATGTGCGCTTCCAGACATTATCCGACAGGATGAAGTCTTGCAAGGTCTTCATCTGGCAGCGTCGATGAGCAGACGCCAGCAACGTGATGAGCAGATCTTCCATGTTCAGTGTAAGCACGTTGCTTCTTGCTTCTTCACGAATGATCTGCTCTAGCTCACTAAAGTTCGCGGCCAAGGTCTTGCCTCCGATCGAGCAGCCTAGAATGGCGATCTCTTGCAAGATGATGTCCTCCAAATCGGCAAATTTCCTCTGGCCGTCGTCCGACATTAGGATGCCGCTGTACATACCATCTTGCCGAACCCGAGCCCAGGCACAAAGCGAATGGCGAAGTGCTCCTCTTGCGTCTTGCTGGCACTGCCGCAACTCGACGTGCAGGTTGCCGACGAAGTCCCAGTCCGAGCTGACTCTCTGGCGCAGGTCTTGCATACTTCTCGAAAGTGTCTTGCTGGCTCTTGCGCGAAGCGCAGCTTCAACCATGTCGGGCACCAGCATCAAGGCTCCATAACAGGCGTCTTGCGGAGCATCTGGCGGGACATATAGGAGGAAGTCTGTCGTCAGGCGTTGGAGTATGGCAAAGTTCTTGCTATCTTCGCAGTTTCCGCAAACATTTCTTGCGAACACTTCCCACACCCAGTAGCTCGACATCATGCTGAGAAGTATCTCTGACTGGACTTTGTACAAGGATTGAATCATCTGCGACTGAAGGTTGTTATTCTTGCCGATCTCCAGAAACGACCGCTCCAGAATCAACCTGTTATCCCGCCACGTCCTGAAGCAACCGACGAGGTGCCAAACCACTGCGTCTCTTGCCAGCACTTTGGTATCCTTGAACGCGCGGTTGATCTTGCCTCGGTCGACGAAGCCGACTATCTTGCCCAGACTGTCGATGTCTTTCGTCATCTGCTCGAGCTCGGCCCAGATGCGAATGGATCTGGCAAGGCCTTTGTTTGAGTTCTTGCTTTGCTCCAACAACTCAGATCTTGCCGCTATGTAATGCCGGTTGCATCTTACCACGCCCATGACCTCAAGGAAGCCGTTGGTCATAGCCGAACTCATGAAGATGCTGAGGTCGAAAGGGCTCTGCATTTTGCTCGATCTACAGCTGGACTCTTGCCCTACCTGACCTTTGCAAAGGCTGCGTCTGCAAATGCAAGTGTGTATTGTTCGTTGCTGCGAGAAGGGCAAGCGCTCCAGGCAAAAGCATTGAACACTTGCAGCGAGGCACCTGGGAAGGCTCCGAAGGTCTGGCCGTATTCTCGGCATTTGCCTGGCGACGTATTGCTGTACCAGGGTTTGTGCTACAGAGAACAACAGAAAGATAAAGACATAGAGTGAGAGAGCTCGAGAGAGAGAGCGAGAGAGAGCGAGAGGAGCCAGAGAGAGCGAGAGAGAGAGCGACGAGAGAGAGCGAGAGAGAGCGAGAGAGAGAGAGAGAGAGAGAGAGAGAGAGAGAGAGAGAGAGAGAGAGAGAGAGAGAGAGAGAGAGAGAGAGAGAGAGAGAGAGAGAGAGAGAGAGAGAGAGAGAGAGAGAGAGAGAGAGAGAGAGAGAGAGAGAGAGAGAGAGAGAGAGAGGGAGACAAACGGACGGGGAGTGAGGCGCAATCTTGGTCCCTGAAAACAATAAACAATCTGTTTTAATTTAATACCGCAAAGCATAGTCCGGCAGTCGTGTCCATTCTGTTGGTTAGTTCTTGCAGGACTAGCAGCACTGCGACTAGGAACCTTCGGGCCACAGCACGGTCGTGCAGTCTTTACCCTCATCGACAGACGCGGTGCCTGCACCAAGCCGGGAAGTGAAGGTAGGTCCTTGCCTCCGGTGACGAACGCATCCAAGTCTGACATTCATATGCTATCTCTCGTAGACTGCGTGAAGTTACGGGCAGAGAATGCGATCTTGGCAGCCAGGCAACTGTTAACTGTCATTGTCCTGCAATTCAGCACTGATAGTTGAATACGACAGAAATTCGGAACACTGACTGTCTTGCTGCTGAGCGCCATGCTTTTGCAGCCTCTGGCCTTGGCCCGGTGCAGGATGTGGACAGGACTAACACCCTCATGGCGAAACATGAAAGCTCTGACCGACTGTTTGCGAATCTATTGACTGGCTTCCCGGATGAAGCTTTTGCTGAGGAAAACCAAACCGAATCGGCAAGCCTTTGACCTTTGATTAAGTATGTGGGCTTTCTTTCTGGGAGGACCGCCCGGAAGGCTTAGAGGAAGGGTTGCTGCGAAGGGGTGGGCCGAAGGAGCCCCGCGAACGGCCGCGAAGGAGCCCCGCGAACGGCCGCGAAGGAGCCCCGCGAACGGCCGCGAAGGAGCCCCGCGAACGGCCGCGAAGGGTGGGCACTGTGCCGAACGGGACGGGCGCAAAACCAGAACAGCGAACGCTTTGCGAACGTTGGCGGGGTTCGTGGGCCAGCGGTTGGCGAAGGGCCTGGAAGAGCTGGCGCCCTCTACCGGAGGTTTCGGCCAAGGTTCCTGAATGTCCGGAGCCAGGTTCGTGGCGAACGTCTTGCGAACGTCTGGCGGGGTTCGTGGCGAACGTCTGGCGGGTTCGTGGCGAAGTTCCGCGAACGTCTGGAGGGTTCGTGGCGAAGGTCCGCGAACGTCTGGCAGGGTTCGTGGCGAAGTTCCGCGAACGTCCGCGAACGTCCGCGAACGTCCGCCGGGGCTCGGGTGTGAGTGCGAAGAGCTCAGTCAATATATACTGAAGCTTCAGGATTTATGGTCATTCACGAGCAAGCCTTTTGTCTCTATCTCGTGACTGCTAAGCTTGTCGGACAAACGGCACAATTCGAAAGCCAGGTCGGTCGATGGATGCACTCTGTTGCTTGTTGTTGTTTACACAGAAATGCAATTATTATTATTCTGTCCAAGTTGCACGTCTTCAACGAACATTCATAGAAACCACGGTTGATGTTGCTGTGATGTATCTGTACTATCTTATGTACAATCGATGCTCGTTTCACACTTGGGGCGAATTGCTGGACACACGAAGAATTGCATCTCTCGCCCTCTCTCTCCTCTCGTAAGCTAGACTATGTCCGCGTTGTTTTTGCTGGTTGTTCTTACTTAATTCTGAGGATGTCATACTTGCTGGCGCTTTGGTACCTTGAATGAATTGCAAGAATGCCTTTGACTCGAAATTCTACTTCTGAAATTACGACCGGCCCGGGCTTCTTCAACACCACATCTTCTGGCCGACCAGGCGTAAAAAGGTGAAACTGCTACTGTTTCCTACTTACTCCGAAGCCATGGCGTTCGATTGCCGTGGCTCAATTCTGGCTCCTCAGGTCGGAAGATCAGTCTAGACTCAAGAGGGTCCATTCTAGATCCTCTAGATCCTCTGGGTCCTCTTGCTCCGGTGTAGGAGCGTTTTGAACTTTATTGGCTGGCCGCGTCTCTGAGTGTTTGAAAGGGCCAGACTGCGTCTGGTCTTGCGACGCCTTGAAGGCCATCTCAGCCTGCGAGCAATCTGGGGTCTGATGTAGGACTTCCTCATCTTGCACCTCTTGCTCGAGTGAAGCGACGAAGCCGATCCCAGTCTCAGTATGCAAACCATATGGGCTTTGTCTCACGCTGTCATTGTCTTGCACCTGTTGCTCCGAAACTGCTGTGTCCTCCGCGTCGGCGTCTTGCACGTCTTGCAACACCCAGCCGTTGGAATCCGACCAAAGCTCCATGACGCCCAGGTATCTTACGACGCGGCCGTGGTGGTCCCTGAAGCCTTGATTTCGCAAACGAGTCGTGACTGCAGAAATGGTAGATATGTTGCATTAATTATTTGGGTGGCACAGGAAAAATTAATGAACAATTGCATGACTGATCATGAGTGGCATCCAGTGTCATCTTGCACCAAGGCTACACTGTGTCGCTTTTGCACAGAGGAGCAGCAAGCAAAGTCTTGCAAGTAGATGACGCTGCCAGTCCTAGTCGTGGACCAAGTGCCTTGTCGACCATACGCCGTGTTCCCATTGCCTTAATGTGCATGGTGTTACTTAGTTAGCATTGCGCTTCAGCTAAGGTGGAGACTGAGACCATGGTACCGATGATCATTAACTACTAAAGCTAGCAACCAACGACTGGACCACGCTCTGAGACTCGACTAAGACGCCACGATAGGGCATGCAAGCTGCGGGTCTTGCGGCGAAACCCCACCTCATAGTTGCTGAACAAGTAAAGGACCTCGTTTCTCTTGCAGTGCTCCCAGCTGTACATCGCAACCCGCACTTGGCAGGTCATGGATGGCACCAAGGAAGGGGTCCGGCAGGCAGAGTGCTGGCTGAGCTTGGGAAACAGCAGCTGCAAGCAGGAACCCGATTTCAGCAACCTCTAGAACTCATTTCCAAGTCTGGGCTGTCTGACAGAAACACGGCCAAGGATCGGACCCGTAGACCACGTCTGGCTGCCCGCCTGTCCAAGGGAGCACATCTCGGGGAAGTGCAAGGCCAAATTAAGTAATTTCATGTATCGCATCAGCATCTGACCGCATGTCAACCTGACCTCGAAGAAGAGGCAGCTGATTGAATGATGTGCACTTTTCTATGCGCTGCTGAAATCTATGTTCTGACTAACTCTTGCAGACACTGCCGAGACCGCCGTTGCATGATATGCACCACGCAGGGTCGCCCTAATAATGTCGACGCAGCGGCGGCAGGGCGGACGGCGGACTCCTCCAAATCTGTGCCGGCCCAGCAGCACTGGGAAGACGGCAGCGGTCCGAGAATGGAAGTGCTGTCGCAGGTCCTGGGCTTTTGCCGGACGACGCTGTTATCTGGCAGAAGACTGACTGAAGCTCATGCCCATCCAAGCAGCATCGACGTCGGGCGCCGACGCATACTAGCTCTTGCCGTCGGGATGCACATTGCGCCGTCCAGGTGCTCTGCCTCGTGCATCCTTCGCAGCAGAAAACCGTCAGCCAGCCGCCCGCTTGTGCCAGTTGCGTGTCTTGCATCAGAGCCGTCGGAGCAGGTCTGGCGCACGCAGCTCGAGCAGGCTGCCCTGACAGGAGAGCCTGCTCGAGCTGCCCGCTTGTGCCAGTTGTGTGTCTTGCATCAGGTACGTCGGCTGGACCTGCAAGAGAAAACCAACGCCGAAAACCAACGCCAGGTCCAGCAATGAGAAACTGGTAATTGCTGGATCTGCTCTCACCAACACCAGCAGTTGGATACTGTCATGTCATGGCTAATCACAGGCCAGCACGCCAGCATGGCCCACGGTTCCCAAGCAGCTCAACGAGAAGGCTCTATAGGCCACCGAGCATGTGTCAACCTGATCACGCCAGTGATCAGGTTGACACATGCTCGGTGGGTCTCTGTCTCTTGCTCAGACGTGCCAGGTGCCTGGTCGACCTGCAACTGAAAACCTCCAGCCGACTGCCCGCTTGTGCCAGTTGCGTGTGTTTCGCATCAGAGCCCTCCAGCAGCCGACCTGGCGGCCAAACACCATGGCTGCCACGGCCAGCACCACAAACGTAGCGAGCCAGCGGTCAGGTCTGCCAGATTCTGGCAGGGCTGACGGCTGGCTCGCAGTGATCGTGTCCTCGGGCATCTTACAAGAATCCAACTGCATTCCTGTATTAGATCGACTCCATTGCAAGAGTGGCTTTGGCATTTTCATGGCCATATACACGTGTCACTCCGAAGTTACCGCCACAAGATTCTGCTGCCTGCCAGTCTGAGAGCTGTTTCCTCCGTTGCAGTACTGGCTAGCGCCTTTTCTGGAATCTGGGCAAGAGATGAGATGTTTGATTGGGCTGATGGTTTTTTTCTCTGCTGACACGCTTGCGCAAGCCTGCCATCCATTCATTGCCGGACATTGACCCAAGGACCACACTGTAGCGAATCCCGACCCCAGAGTCGGGCGCTTCGCGAAGGAACCAGGCCGGAATCATGACACGTCTCTCCCTATGAGCACTGTCCTCTTAAATTCCACGACATCTGCTCAGCTTCTTGCCTTGAGCCAGCCACCAATTTGTGAGTTGGAACCGTAAGTTTGGCCATGTGTGTGTGTGCGGAAGTGAGCGCCTCGCAACTATACGCATGAAGCAGCATTAGTCAGTTATACTTATACCACCATCTTACCCC